TCACAATAACTACTTTTACATTTTTCATAAAAATGTCTTCCACTAAATGAAAATATAATATATTTTTATTTATTACTTTAATCTTATTATTATTAGTCAAAATTACTTCTTTTGATATTTTGATACCAATAAACTTTTTCTTTTGGAAAGAGTAAAAAATATTTTAAAGGGTTATAATAGCTCAAATAATAAAAAATATTTTAAAGGGTTATAATAGTTCAAATAATATTTAACTCTATTTTGTCTTTCTAAATGAGTATAAATTATGATATCTCTTTCAAACGAAATATTTGAATTATTTCCCTCAACCCATATAATAACAACTTGATCAACAAATAAACGATTATAAACTCGTTAATCTAAATTAACATTTTTGCAATATGAGTTTCAAAATTCTTAAAAGAAAATATCTTTTTTAATCTCTGCAAGACTTAGACATAAGGATTTTCTTCTAAAATTATTAGTAGCATCTCCACCATTTTTGCATTTAAATTTTTATTGTATTATGTTCTCATTCTATTTTAAAATTTACTACCGATATCATAAAAATGTAACTATAATAGCATAAATTAATCAACTTAAATTTGAAACAATTCAAAACTTAAATTAAGTATAAATAAATTTTTTACTTATTTTAAATTTTAATTTAATTAAAAATAATATAATACACATAATTATAAAAATGAGCTAACTTAATTATATTTTAATTGATTTTAAAAAGTCAACAACTTAATAATATTTCAATAAAAAATACATAAATATATTGATTTTAAATTTCTTTAGGATTAATATGAAACTCTTTTGTTTGGAAAAATATTGTATATTCCTTAATTTTCTCTTTTATATCAATTCAAAAAATTCACTATTGTATAAAATTTTTAAGGTTGATATATTAGGTAATGTTTATCCAAAATAATTAAAATTTATCAAATTAATTATCACTATTATATTTAATATAAAAATATTATTATAAATTATAAATTAACTAAACTTAAAAGTGATTTAAGGACATTCATTAGCAAAATTTATATGATAAATTTTTATTTAATTATATATTTAGTAATTCAATTATTTTGAACTTTGACTTTTTATAATTTTGAGTTAGATTTTAGATTTAGGATATGTGATTAATTAGGTTAAGTCAAGTTTTATCATTTACTTCTATTCATAATATACTCAATTATTCACTTATGCACCTAGGCAAATTTGATTTAATAATTTGTGCATATTCTTTTTATTTAAAAAGCTAAATTCAAATCATCTTAAATCCAAATAAAAAAAGTATACTCAATAATTTCACTTAGAAATACTTTTAAAGTTAATTAATTAATTAATTAATTCAACTACAACGACAATCAAAATAAGACATTGAAGATGAAGGGGAAAAATTTTAAAAAAAACTTTTAAATTGTTATAGAAGATTATTTCATTTTTCTACTTAAATTAATCTTTCATTGGTGCTTCCATTAATTGAATGTAAATGTACATTCTATCAATTGAAAGTTTAATTTTTTTATTTAAAAACTATACATAAATTTTTATTATATAAAATATTAAAATGCATAATTTTTGAAAATAAAATAAAATAAAATGCTAACTTTGGTATTTGCCCTATTTTCTTAAGAAAATTCTAATTCTAAGAATAACAAACTTGTTATGTAGTATTATATAATTTATAATAATTTCATTTTCAGCATTAACAACATAAATTTTCATAAATGAATGTAACTTTAATATAAACATATTCAAAAGATAATTCTAATAAATGTTGTCACACCTTCAAAGATTTCACCAAAATAATTAATTTTACTTCACTTAGATAATTTTTTACTTAGAATAACTCATGTTAAATTGTTTAACCACTTGGATGACAAAAAAATGAGCATTTTAATAAAATTAAGAAAGATTAAATAATATTGAGATATAAATGAATCACATATGCATATTAAAATAAAGTTGAGAGAAAGTTATGTTAATTATTGTTTCAATCAATGAAACAATTCTTATGACAATTTAATGGGATCCAATCCTGAGATACTGGTAACCCTAACATCTCTTAAATCATCTAATTTAACAGGTAAAAAATTCAATTAAAGTGTTAAATGAATCACATAGTACTAATTGTTGGTGGAGGGAGTGCAATGGATTTGCATTTAATTTGATATTAATTTTTGTTTATGAGAATAATAATTATAAAATCCTAGAGAAAAAATACAAAACAAAAATTAATTATAAAAGTCAAACTAAATTGTAAGAATAATATATTTAAAAATTATTTCAAGACACTAAAAAAATTAATTATGTTGTCAATGATCAAATGATCAACACATAAACTATACAAATAATAAAATCATTAATAAACATATATAGTTAAGACATTATAAAAAATTGTAAGGCAAAAAATTAAAAAATAAAATATGTTTCAATGATTTAATTATGATTATCTTTAATGAATTTATTTTTCAACATAAATAACATGAACAATTGTTTTTATAACAACCAAAGAACAAACTCCATATAATTGTTTTATTTCTATGCACACTAAGTTTTGATATTGTTTTATTTGCATATTCATTCATGTAAAAAATCATTTCACTTATAAAAAAGAGTCTAATAATAAAAAAATTTTTAAATTAAAATTTATAAAAAATTATTAATGATATTTTAATTAATCACTTTTTAACATTTTTAGGATTAAAATTTTATTAAGGGTATTTTAATCAAATAGTTTTCAGCACTTTTTAGTCTAATTATAAAAAATCTAATAATAAAAAATTCATTTAAATTTAATTTTGTAAAAATATTTCTAAATGTATTTTAGTCAATTACTTTAACACTTTTGGAATTAAAATTTTAAAAATTAAACTTATATAAATTAATAAAAATTGTATTTTCATTTGATGTGAAAAATTATTTTACTTATAAGAATAATAAAAGTCATTTAAATTAAAATTTATAAAAAATTTTAATAATATTTTAATCAATCACTTTAATATTTTTTATACTAATTTTCTTAACAATATTTTTGTCAATCATGTTTAACATTTTTTTAGTTTAATTATAAAAAAAGACTGATAATAAAATTTTTATTTAAATTAAAATTTATAAAAAATTTACTAAAAATATTTTAACCAATCACTTTTGACACTTTTAAAATTAAAATTTTAAACGTTTAAGTAATTTAATTTACGTAAACTTTATTTTTAATTTTAATTGATTTTAATTAAATTTAAATAAATTAATAAAATTATATATAATTAAAAATAAATTTATTAATTTTAAAATTTATAAAAATATTTAAATCGATCCCTTATAACAGTTTTAGAGTTCAATATATGAAGTATATATATGACTTTGGAAGACGCGGCGATAATCCTACACTCGCTAACAACTATAAGCAACAAAATCCAGCCAATTACATGCATTATTATATATTCCTTAAAAACCTAAAAGAATCTTTCTATTAGCCGCAAATTGTGATTTCCTTTAGTTTTTAAAATTTTCCACTTTTGGCTTACTTGTTTGCACTTCTCGACATCATTAAAAACAGCAAAAAAAAAAAAAAAAAATCACAGAATCAGATTTGCTTTTATTTTGCTAGTTATAGTGTTATTCAAATATCAGGAAATTTTACTTAAATCATTTTTTTTTCGGTCTTTGACTCCGTTTGTTTTACAGAAATTAATTTTTAAAAAATATTTATATTTTTGAAAATGAAAAAAAATTTTATTGTTTGGATAAGTTAATAAAAATATATTTTTTATTATTTAATAATTTTTTGAAAAATCTGTTTATTTTTTCAAATAATATTAATATAACTATTAAAATATTAAAAATTATTTATTATTAAAGTATATTAAAATTATTAATATTCATGAATAATTAAATTTTAATAAGAATATTTAATATTAAAACATTATATTAATATAAAAAATACCTAAAATAAAACTATTTATTATTCTATATATTAATATATTAAAATATTTAAAATAGTATTACTATTCTTAAAATATTATTTTTATTAATATTAAAATAGTAATATTTAATATTAAAATATTTATATTTTATATTAAAAGTGTCTATTATTAAATCATAACAAAAATCTTTTTTATTTATATTTATTGTTAAAATAGTAAAATAAATACGTTAATAAATAAAATATAAAATCATATATTTTAAACTAAAAATAATAAGAAATTAATAAAAATATTCATATTAAGAAATAATATTGTTATATTATTTAACCTTAATTATTAAAATAATAAAAATATTATTATATATGTTATTATTTATTATTAAAATAATAATATAATACTATTTATTATTGAAATATTGAAAATATATATGTTTACTATGTACAAAAAAAATATTTAAAATTGAAATATCAACAAATTTTTAGTTTTAATATTATAATTTTTTAAATTAAGTTAAATAAAATTAAAATTTTTAAAATTTAAGTAATTGAATTGACATAAACTCAATTTTTAATTTTAGTTAATTTTAATTAAATTTAAATAAATTAATAAAAATATATATAATTAAAACTAAATTTATTAATTTTAAAATTTATAAAAATATTTAAATCGATCATTTTTATTTATTTTAAAAATGAATACATATATATATATATATTTATTTGACTTTGCCGCCGTAATCCTAAACAAGCTAACCACTATAAGCAACACAATCCAGCCAATTACATATTTACATGCATGACAGTATATTCCGTAAAAACCTAAAAGAATCTTGCGGCCGCAGATTGATTTCCTTTTGTTTTTAAAATTTTCCACTTTTGGCTTGTTTACTATTCTCGACAAAATTAAAAACAGAAAAAAGAAAATCACAGAATCATATTTGCTTTTAGTTTGCCAGTTATAGTGTTATTCAAATTTCAGGAGATTTGACTTAAATCATTTTTCTTCCGGAAGATAATTATTTTTCGTTTACAAGTAACTCATTTTTTGTTAATCAATAAAAACAAGAAAATGTAAAAATCAATTTTGGAAAGTGATTTTCTGCCAGCTTTTTGTCTCTCATTTTGCATTCCTTTATTTAAGTACCCTACATTTCTCTCGTTTTCCCACCCAACAAGAGCAGAACACACACTGTCTTTTTCATTTCAAAGGTGTTTTTGCGAGAAACAAAGAAGAAATTATGTTATAAATCTTCATTCAGATTATTATAACTGGGTGGATTTTTTTTTTTTTTTGTTTATAGTAATTGATTAACGAAGCTAAGCTGTAGCCTGAATTAAGAATAATATAACATATCATGGCGTCAGCATTAGCTGGAGATGATTTAGCAAGGTCGATGAGCAGCAGAAGGAGCTGGGCGGCATCGAACGGTCATAGGAGCAGGGCATCAGCGAGCTTCAGGGAGGTTTTGCAACCTCCACCTGAAGTGTTTAACAGGAGTGAACGTCAAGATGATGAGGAAGAGCTACGTTGGGCTGCTATCGAGAGGTTGCCAACGTATGATCGGTTGAGAAAAGGGATGTTGAGACAAGTTCTTGATAATGGGAGGGTTGTTCATGATGAAGTTGATGTTACCAAGCTTGGGATGCAAGACAAGAAGCAGTTGATGGATAGTCTGTTGAAAGTTGTTGAAGAAGATAATGAAAAGTTTTTGAGGAGATTAAGGGACAGAACAGATAGGTAAGTAAAAATAATAATAATAATCATAATAATAATAATAACCTTTTTTTTTTTTTTGGTTTTCGATTGATTTGATTTGATTTCATTTCTGGGTTCTGATTGGTGTAGAGTGGGGATTGAGATTCCAAAGATTGAAGTTCGGTTTGAGCATTTGGCAGTTGAAGGAGACGTGTATGTTGGAAGCAGAGCTCTTCCTACTCTCCTTAATGTGACCTTAAACACAATAGAGGTATTGTTTTTCTTATTCTTTTTGAACTATCAAAACTCTTTTTCTTTTTTTTTTTTTCGAAAATCATGAAGTTTTAGAAATACATGATGGAGAATTTCTTTGGATTTATTAATTTTTTGGTATTTTTTATTTTCAAAAGCAGAAAAAGAAAAAAAAAAGTTTAGCCATAACAGAGGAGAATTCTCTGTTTTCAGATTTTACTATTTAAAAAAATAGAACTATTTTTATTTGGTTCACCTTTTAAATTTCGTTTGTGTGTTTTTAATTATTTTCATCAACAACAGGGCATTCTCGGATTGGTCCGGCTTGCGCCATCTAAGAAGAGAAAAATTCAGATACTTGAAAATGTTAGCGGCATAATCAAACCCTCAAGGTAATTCAATGGAATTCTTTCATTTTTTTTTTTTTTTGGATCCGAAAGTACTAATGGACAAACCAAATCTCACTTCCCATCCTCAAGCAGAGGGTAACATTTGCAATAAATATATATTCTTTTGGTAACGAAATTTTGTTTTCAAACAATTGCCTGCACAGAAAGTGTTCATTTGCTCCAATCGATAAAGCTGAAGTGTTTCATCTGATGAAATGGATAGTTATGTTTTGGTTTTTTAAGAACTATGTATGGATTAATAATTGAATGAAAATTTTCAGGATGACCCTACTTCTGGGTCCTCCAGGAGCTGGAAAAACAACATTGTTAATGGCACTTGCTGGAAGGCTTGATCATGATCTAAGGGTGAGTTTCCTACTCCTTTAAACGGTTTTTTTTTTTTTCTGGTAACTCTTTCTTTCACCTATTTTTCTTCATTTTTTTTTTCTTTTCATCCATTTTTTCTCTTCTACCTACATAGTTGTAGGTGCGCCAAAACCCAGTTCATATTAAGCATATGCAAATATTAAAATGAAATTTGCTTTCTATTATGAATTTAGACGGTGAAATTCAATAGATTCCACAATTTGCTTGTTTCAAGTAGTCTCCTGATAATTTGGATTTGTGAACAGTCATCTGGAAAAGTGACTTACTGCGGTCATGAATTGGATGAGTTTGTTCCTCAAAAGACATGTGCTTATATCGGTCAACACGATCTTCACCACGGTGAAATGACAGTGCGAGAGACATTGGATTTTTCGGGACGTTGTTTGGGTGTTGGTACAAGATATGAAATGCTTACAGAGCTGTCAAGAAGAGAGAAAGAAGCTGGAATTAAGCCAGATTCTGAGATTGATGCGTTCATGAAAGCCACAGCAGTGGCAGGCCAAGAAACAAGCTTGGTGACAGATTATATTCTTAAGGTTAGTCTTCTGTTTTCAAGTTGTTTCGTCTTTTGATTTATCAAGTTAGACAGACTAATTATAAGGGAACTGACTTTTGTAAGAATTTCTGACAGATACTTGGATTGGATATTTGTGCGGATATCATGGTTGGAGATGAGATGCATAGGGGTATTTCTGGTGGCCAAAAGAAGCGTGTGACCACAGGTTTGTTTCCAGAACAAGTTTAAGCATACCAATTTTGCTTTGTCTTATTTACTTCACTTCTTGTATATGAGCATTTGTGCTTACTTACGAATTGCTGGTCTAATAGTTTTTTGTTTTACTTGATTGCAGGAGAAATGTTGGTTGGACCAGCAAAGGCTCTATTTATGGATGAAATATCAACAGGATTGGACAGTTCTACTACTTTCCAGATTTGCAAGTTCATGAGGCAAATAGTTCATATCATGGATGTAACCATGGTCATTTCTCTTCTACAGCCGGCACCAGAGACATATGATCTTTTCGATGACATTATCGTTCTTTCAGAGGGTCAAATTGTTTACCAGGGTCCACGTGAGAATGTCTTGGATTTCTTTGAATACATGGGCTTCAAGTGCCCTGAGAGAAAAGGAGTTGCTGACTTTTTGCAAGAAGTAACTTCCAAGAAGGACCAAGAACAATATTGGTTAAAAAAGAACCAACCCTACAGATATGTTTCAGTTTCTGATTTTGTGCATGGATTCGATTCCTTCCACATTGGCCAACAGCTTGCATCAGACCTTAGAGTTCCCTATGATAAGTCCAAAACCCATCCTGCTGCCTTAGTTACAGAAAAATATGGCATTTCCAGTTGGGAACTGTTAAGGGCATGTTTTGCAAGGGAATGGCTGCTAATAAAGCGTAACTCTTTTGTGTATATATTCAACATTGTTCAGATAGCAATCATGTCAGTGATTGGCTTCACTGTGTACCTAAGAACAGAAATGCCAGTGGGTACTTTGGAAAATGGTCAAAAATTTTTTGGAGCCCTATTTTTCAGTTTATTCAATGTGATGTTCAATGGATTGGCGGAACTTACACTGACGATTTTCAGGCTTCCTGTATTCTATAAACAAAGACACTTCTTGTTTTATCCTGCATGGGCTTTTGGCCTACCAATTTCGGTCCTTAGAATCCCACAATCACTTATAGAATCAGGGATATGGATTGCCCTGACATACTACACAATTGGCTTTGCTCCATCTGCTACCAGGTAAGCAATATTGAAGCAATTCCTTTTTTCTACTGATCATGATCATGTTGTTATTTTAGTGATGACTTCATCTTTATGACATTATAGTTTTCGTAGTTTCTTTGACTAGACACCTCTTTTGCTTTTAATCTCCAGGTTCTTCCGACAGTTTTTGACATTACTTGGCATCCATCAGATGGCTTTGTCCCTCTTTAGGTTCATTGCTGCAGTAGGAAGGACACAGGTGGTTGCGAACACCCTGGGTACCTTCATCATGCAATTGATTTTTGTACTTGGAGGCTTTATCGTTGCCAAACGTAAGTAGTTGACCTCTATTTATTGTTAAAAGATCTTTATAGTTGAAGCATTAAAACAAGTTCGTATCCCTAATGTCAGATATTAACCACTAGTATTAGATGATATTGATCAGTTTCTTCCTTAATAGTTTTCTAACACATTTTTTACTTGTAGATGACATTGAACCATGGATGATCTGGGGCTACTATGTTTCTCCTATGATGTATGGACAAAATGCCATAGTCATGAACGAATTCCTCGACAAAAGATGGGGAGCGGTAAGATCTTCTGAAGTTCAATTGCCTTCATGTTTTTTTTTTCCCATTCACCATGGGCCATAATTAATATTTTACACATAATTATCCAATCCAGAACAACACAGACCCCAGATTTGATGCACCAACAGTGGGAAAAGTTCTTCTCAACACCAGAGGCTTCTTTACAGATGAATATTGGTTTTGGATTTGTGTTGGAGCACTCTTTGGCTTCGCCCTTCTCTTCAACATTTTATTTATTGGAGCATTGACTTTCCTGAATCGTTAGTGACATTCTCTCATTTACTCTTACAATTGATTGTATTTGAATAAATTTTCAATATTGACTCACTGCTTATATGTGGATTAATCTATTTTCAGCCCTTGGTGCTTCCAAACCCGTAGTTGTCAATGAAGATGAAAATAAGAAGACTAAAAACCCATCCTCTGCTGGAAGGCAACCAGAAGGTAAGTGAACGTTTTGTGAGCTTTGAGTTAAAATCTAATGTAATTTTGTCATCAAAACCTGCATTTACTCAACTTATGCCATCTTTTCCCAAGTACTTAACTTTTCTGAACGATTACAGGTATTAATATGCAAGTAAGAAACTCTTCAGATATCGTGAATGCTGCAGGAAGCGCACCTAGAAAAGGAATGGTTTTACCTTTCCAACCCCTTTCACTTGCATTCAACCATATTAACTACTATGTGGATATGCCTGCAGTAAGTTACTCATCATCTTAAACATTTCACTTTCTGTTTGACAACTGACATTTTGTTCAAGACATATTTAGTTTAACGAGGAAACATTGAGTGAAATCTTGATTTTCTTCCAGGAAATGAAGACTCAAGGAGTTGAAGAAGATCGTCTTCAGCTGCTACAAGATGTTAGTGGCGCTTTCAGACCAGGAATATTGACAGCATTAGTGGGTGTAAGTGGTGCTGGGAAGACAACCTTGATGGACGTTTTAGCAGGAAGGAAAACAGGCGGATACATTGAGGGAAGCATCAGCATCTCGGGTTACACAAAGAACCAAGCAACCTTTGCTCGTGTGAGCGGTTACTGTGAACAAAATGACATTCACTCCCCAAATGTCACGGTTTATGAATCACTCTTGTACTCAGCTTGGCTCCGTCTTGCTTCTGACATAGACACCAAGACTAGAAAGGTTGGTAAAGCCATCTTAAAAGTCTCTTTTGCTCTTTCCGTCCACAAAGTTCCTATTATAATCTACGTCTTGAATTTTTGTTTTTGTATAGATGTTTGTTGATGAAGTTATGGAGTTGGTTGAGCTCAAACCAATAAGGAATGCCATAGTTGGACTTCCAGGAGTTGATGGTCTTTCAACAGAACAAAGGAAGAGGTTGACAATTGCAGTAGAGTTGGTTGCTAATCCCTCTATCATCTTTATGGATGAGCCAACTTCTGGACTTGATGCCAGAGCTGCCGCAATTGTGATGCGTACTGTGAGAAATACTGTGGACACAGGGAGAACTGTTGTGTGCACAATTCATCAGCCTAGCATTGACATCTTTGAAGCTTTCGATGAGGTAAAATTCAATAGGATAGATTCTGTTTTGAGAATTTGCTACTTTTGGTTTTATTCGTTTTTTCCCATTCTATTACCTGCATTCAACTTTGTATTGCACTTGTTGCAGTTACTCTTGATGAAAAGAGGAGGGCAAGTTATTTATGCTGGACCTCTTGGTCGCCAATCTCAGAAGCTTATAGAATATTTTGAGGTTAGAATTTCCAATTTTTCTGCACTAATTAATGTTGGCTCTCTACGTTATCTTATCATATGAACAATGTATTGCCCCTTTAGCAAATACAATTTACTTACTCCAAGAGAAATTGTAGCAAAAGCTAACATGCATCTTCTACCATAGGCTGTCCAAGGGGTTCCAAAGATTAGGGATGGATACAATCCTGCGACATGGATGCTTGAGGTCAGCGCTCCGCCAGTTGAGGTTCAATTGAACGTAGATTTTGCAGATATTTATGCCAGCTCTTCACTTTATCAGTAAGTTTAACTGCAATGTCACAGTTTAGGCAGCAAATTTTTTCCCCTCGCTTGAGACTTATAAATATATTGTGCTCAATTTTTTTTTTCACAAACTTTCAGGAGGAATCAGGAACTTATCAAAGAGCTTAGTACACCAGCTCCTGGCTCCAAAGATCTCTTCTTCCCAACCAGATATTCTCAGCCATTCCTTACGCAGTGCAAGGCCTGCTTCTGGAAACAACACTGGTCTTACTGGAGGAACCCTCAATACAATGCCATTAGGTTTTTCACGACAACAATTATTGGTATATTATTTGGTCTTATCTTCTGGAAAAAAGGACAACAAACGTAAGTCTTTGATTATGAAACAATGTGTGTGCGCGCACGCGTTAATCTTTTATTTTACATCTGGATGCAGTTATCTTTTACTAGCGAGTGAAATTTTGGCATTAACCAAAAATATTTTGATCACCAGAACAAAACAACAAGATCTGATGAATCTTCTCGGAGCAATGTACTCTGCCGTGCTTTTCCTTGGAGCAACCAATGCCTCTGCTGTGCAATCTGTTGTTGCAATAGAGAGAACTGTCTTCTATCGTGAAAGAGCAGCTGGAATGTATTCTGAATTGCCTTATGCATTTGCTCAGGTAAAAGTTTTTAGCCGTACAAAGAGAACTTGATTGGTTTTCTTCCCTTTCTCTTCAAAATGAGCTTACCACTGAATTGTGGACTTAAGAACCATCCTTTATTCTTCAGGTGGCGATAGAGACAATCTATACTGCAATTCAAACTTTCATTTATACTTTACTTCTATACTCGATGATTGGATTTGAGTGGACGGCTGGAAAATTCTTATTGTTCTACTACTTCATATTAACATGCTTTGTCTACTTCACTCTGTATGGGATGATGGTTGTTGCTCTAACACCGGGTCATCAAATTGCCGCAATTGTCATGTCCTTCTTCCTTAGTTTTTGGAACTTGTTCTCTGGTTTTCTCATTCCTAGGACGGTAAGTCATTTCAAAGTCATTAACTACCGATCTATCCACTTGAAGAAAATGAGAAATAAGCTAAAATTTGCATTATTCATTTATGGCAGCAAATCCCTATATGGTGGAGGTGGTACTATTGGGCTTCTCCTGTGGCTTGGACATTATATGGCCTTGTGACTTCTCAAGTGGGTGATAAAAATGCTCCTCTTGAGGTTCCTGGACGGCAAAATATGACGGTAAAGGGCTTCCTCAAAGAAAACTTGGATTTTGAATATAGCTTTCTCCCGGCTGTTGCTGTGGCTCATATTGGCTGGTGTCTCCTCTTTGTCTTCGTATTTGCCTATGCTATCAGGTTCTTCAACTTCCAAAGGAGATAACTAGTTTCTTCTACACATGTTATATGTTGTAGGATCAGAGGCGGAGTTAGGATTTTTATTAAGAGGGACAAATTCATATGTCAGTGTACAATTATTTGCATACACAATATATTATTATGGATATATTTTTTACATAAAATTATAATGAAAGCAAATATTTAGTTAGAAGTCTATTTTTATCGATTCATGTTATTTGTCTTTGTTATAATTTTTTTTGTCAATTCCAAATAATTAGTGAAGTCAACTTTTCAATTAACATTAAGTATTTTTTTTTATAAGACAAACCAATTAGATAAAACTTTTCAGGAAATGGTTGGAGTTTATAATAAGAAATAATGTAAAAAATTTAAAGACTAAAATGGATAGATTAATGGAACTTAATAAATAGATCAATAAATTGGTACGTTTTAAAGTTTTCAAAATTTTAGTAAATAATTAATCAAAACTTTTAAATTATAGTATGAGAGTATTAGTTTTATTTTTATTCATAATTTCGTGTAACTATCATTTTAGTCATAACTTTCACTATTTTACTTCAAGAATTTATAATTTTGCATTTCATAATCTTTTTAATTATTAAACTGTTTAACTTTTTACATTAAGAATATTTAACTTAGTGATTAGTGCATAATTCTGTCACCAAAAAATTTTTGAATTTTTTTCACCAAATAAAAGTGTGTAGCTATTATTGACAACTATAAAAACAGAAATCATTTTAATATAAAAATCCTTATAACTTACAAAAATATTAAATTTAAAAGTTATTATTATTGGATGAAGGATTAACTTACACAAAAAAGTTTTACATTTTTTAATATTGATTTTAATATATCTAAGTAATGAGATTGAAATTTTTTTTTTTTTGGCTTGTCTCTTTCATTTCTTAGATTTACTAAAATCAACGGTTAAAAAAAATATAAAACTTTTTAATTTTACAATGAAGTAATAAGTTAATCTTTTTTCATTGTTCTTACAAATTTTTCATTTTTACATAAGACAAAGTTTAAATGTTAAAACTTGAAAAAAATTTGTGATATTTTTTTAATTCAATGAATTAAAAAGTTATAAATGAAAATTAATTAAAAATTATTATATTTTAAAATATTATTTATTTATTTAAAAAACATATTTAAGAAATTCACATAATACCGTGTATATATATATATATATATAATTTTTAAAATTTTTGGAGGGCCGTGACCCTTCTGGTTCTCGTGTGGCACCGTCATTATTTAGGATTGTAGAAAATCATGCAGGACTATTGGGGAAAACAAAATGTTATAACCTTTCTCTTTTTTTTTTTTTTTTATATCTTTTCATATTCGTTGTGTAATTATATTCTTTTCTCCTGGTTTTTCATAAAGGCCGCACCTATTAGTGCTGCTGCAGAAGACATGTGAAAGTATTAAAAAATTGCCTTGTCATAAACAGAAAATTTGTGACTTTCTTTTCATATTGTGTAAACTAGTTAGTTAATTTCAGTTACGTGTGAAATTAATTAATTTTATCTATTTATTAATCAATTTACCCCAAATAGGTGTATTACATTTATTAGTTGTTTTACTTGCATTGCAAGTATTGTTATTTTTTTTTTATTTTTAAAACTATAAATTATTTGATTAAAAGTATGATTTTTTAAATATATTTTAAATTATAATTTTTTGATGAAAACATTTAAACAACCAGATAAAAAAAATACAACAATTATAAGTTTTCATTAAAATATATAAGTTATAGATTATAAAGATTTTTTTACTTCTTTATTTTATTTTATTTTATTTTTTATCTTTGTGGTTATTTAGAATTAATTTACTAATTAAAGTTTTAATTCTTAATAATTTTAAGTATAAAAAATTAATTAATATTTTAAAAATAATTCTTAGAATCTTCTTTGGTGCCTTTCTTTTTTATTTTTTTTTACTTTTTTTAATCCATCAAAAATATTCTCAACAATTCATAAAATTCCTTTCTAATCTCGGACATGTGTCATTCATATAAATGTCCAAAATGAACAATGCCTGTATAGGATTCTTTTCATATATCGTTACAGAATAAAAACAATAAATTAATATTTTTAAAATAATACTTAGAATCTTCCTTAGTGCGTTTCTTTTATTTTTTTTTCACTCTTTTTTATTAATCAAAATATTCTCAACAATTCATAAAATTTCTTTCTTATCTTGAACATGTGTCATTCTTGCAAATGTACAAAGTGAATAGTACTTCTATGGGATTTTTTTCGTATATTATTAGGAAGCAAATTTCGTTTCGTTTCGGGATAAAATATTTTATATTAAATTGATATTAAACAAATAAAATAAATAAATATATATATTTGTAATTAAAGAGATTATTTAAATATATTTTATTGTTATCATAATATTAATGTAATTATCAATATATTTTTCAAAACCCTTATTTTGAAAGGTGATTAAAGCTAACAAAAAAAAAATTGGTATGAACTCAACAATGCCTCGTAACTAAATTTGTATTTGTGATTAAACTTAAACTTTCAAACTTTTAATATCGTTAATTCATCATCTTCTGATAACATAAAATAAATTAAACAAAAATCCAGATAATCACATACACAGCATAGCACCCTAAATCCAACAAAGCTACTAAGGTGCTATGATGTATACGTGGCAATCCACGTAACCAAATACACATCATAACCATTTCACACCCAATCCCATATGTTAACCAAATACACATCATAATCATTTCACACCCAATCCCATATGTTGATGCTACTGAAGTTCATATTCAGATAAAGCCAAAATAAGTACAGGAAATTTCACCGAGGTATATGGCTTGAGAATGCTCAGAGCTAAATTACTTTTTTCTAATTCTAGTAATATCTTCAACAAAACTGATCTACTATTCAAGAGTTACATGGTTTCATAAGAATAACAAGCTTCCTGGGATGAAATCAATAGCCTTTTAAGGCTTTCAAAGCAACTTACCACGGTTACCAAAAACCTCTTTCTAAGTGGATTATTCTTCGTTAGCATTATTTGTGTTGGACCTGAAATAATAAAAATAATAATATAAAAATATTATCGTACTAAACTTACAGTAATAAATAATAATCAATAACAAAAAATATAAAAAAATAAAATACATCAAAATTTATGTAAAAAATCTTCTGGTGTAGAAGAAAAAAAATTATGAACCATTAAAAAAAATTTCACTATTAAATAATGGATATACAAAGTTCTTTTCTAGCTAAAACTAGAGCTAATCGACCACTAGAGAGACAATTAAAAAAATTTCACTAAATAGGTGACTCGACAAATATACTTTGGATTTGATTCTAAAGAGCTTCAAACCCGATTTTACCGTTCAAAATGTAGAACTTTGAACTATAAACTTATTGATAAAATTTTAGCTCAATCGAACTACGGATTGACTTTTGTTCAATGAACTCTTATTTTTTTTCTTTTTTTTTAATTTTTCTTAGCTTTTCTTCTTTCTCTTGGTTTCGGTGCCTTTCTATTTTTTTCCACACCAAAACCAACCCTCACATTTTTTGTTATCTAGGGCTCTATTAGGGTAGCCTAAAACACAATGCCCATGGCCATTAAAACGTCAAATAACACATGGGGTTAGACTTCGCATATTTCTAACAATCTCTCTCTTCAGTCCCATTAGGAATAGATTCATCATCATAATAGTTTTATTTGGAACTTACCTTGGTCAAAGAACTCATTTTGGCTAAGTCACTGCAGAGCTCAAGGTTTTTCTTGAAAAATATCTTAGTCAGCATATCCGCTACATTCTTATCAGTATGAACGTAACTAGTGATATCTAACATCAATGTGCTTTGTTCTAGCATAGTTCATGACATTTTTACTCAAATCTAAAGCACTTTAACTATCACAAAATACTACATATTCTTTTTTATTCAACTTCAATTCAAGAAGATAACGTTTCATCTAAAGTATTTCTTTACCTACTTTAGTTGTTGTAATATATTCAGCTTCTGTAGTTAATAAAGCAACACACTTTTATAACTTAAACTGTTACAAAACAACTATTCCTACTAAAGTGAATAAATACCCTAAAGTAGATTTTTTACCATTAAGATGACCTGCCATGTCAAAATTAATAAACTTTTCTAAAATTGATTGTAAAATTTCATAACTCAAGTATATTTTTAAGGTACCTTATTAAATATCTGAAAATTTACTTTTCTGTTTCTCAGTGAACCTTTTTTGGATTAGAAAAAAATCTACCCACTGCATCAACTGCATGAGCAATGTCAAATCGTGTGCAAATCATAAGATACATAAAAGAATTTACTACAGAAGAATTAGGAATACTAGATATAGCTAGTATTCTTAGTTATTGTATAAGATTTTTTACTCAAATGAAAATAGTAAGTAAATTACTATTCAATTTAGCATATTGCATGTTGAATCTACTAAGCACCCGTTCAACATACTTTTTCTGTAACAATCACAGCTTTTCAGCTCTTCACTTTTGGATAATATCTATACCAAGAATCTACTTTATCAGACCTAATCCTTTATACTTAAGGACTTAAACAATTATTCTTTCAACCTACGAATCATACCAACATCTTGTCCTATAATTAATATATCATTAACATATAATAAGAGAATAATAAAGTTACCATTAGAAAATTTTTTAACATACACATAAAGATCCATTATCGTTCTTTTATAGTTGTGGCTCACTATAAAAGAATTAAATTTTTTGTACCATTATTGTAGAGCTTGTTTTAAGTTATACAAGCTTTTTTTCAGTTTGTAAACTAACTGTTCTTTTTCTTTCACTTCAAAATCATCATGTTGATCCATATAAATATCCTCATATAAGTCACCATGCAAGAATGTAGTCTTAACATTAAGTTGCTTAAGCTCAAGATTCAAACTAACTGTTAATCCCAATACTACTTGAATGAAACTTATTTTCACAATTGGAGAGAAGATTTCATAAAAATCAATACCAAGTTTCTGACAAAAATCTTTCACCACCAATTGAGCTTTATACCTTACTAGTT